TGTAGGCTGCTGAAAAGGATGTGTTTTGGTATTTTTGTTTTCTTAGCTTTTTGGTATATCTTTGAGCAATATGTAAATATGGTTTATCTCTATGTATATCATTGATTTGTTTGAATGCCACATTTCCAAGAATTCCCTAATGTTTTTGAATTTAACTTGTTCAACAGTTTCCCGGTTGAAATTAGGATTGAGTCTGTTCATGTGTTTTGAGATTAAGGAGTTTTCATTGTGCCATTTCACTGCTAGAAGGTGACATGGATGTCTTCTTCTAGTCTTCTGCTTAACATAGGGGCTCTTTCAGCCCTTACACTTGTCTTATTTCATCTCAGGCCAGAAATGCAGAAACTAGAAAGAGCAATAGCAATAGCCCTTAGACTTATATACCACTTCACAGAGCTTTACAGCCCTCTCTAAGCAATTTACAGTGTCAGCCTATTGCCCCCAACAATCTAGGTCTTCATTTTACCCACCTCGGAAAGATGGAAGGGTGAGTCAGCCTTGAGCCTGGCGAGATTCGATCTGCCAAACTGCTGGCAGCTGGCTGTCAACAGAAATAGCCTGCAGTACTGCATTCTAACCACTATGCCACCATGACTCAAGAGGAAAATTATTAATTTAAATTTTAAAAGATTAAAACTTTAATAAAAAGATAAATTTATATTGATCTAGCCCAATGCCAGGCCACATTGATGGCTGGGATATTTCCAACCAGCATGACTGCTGTTTTTTTTTCTTGAGCTACTGGGTCTTTTAATTTACTTAAGATGGCTTGGATGGCTTTAGTTGATAGTGTGTGCTATGGTAATGCTGTGCAGTTGTAATAATCTGTTGGTTGTTTCTGAGATGTTTATGACAGGGGTCACCAACCTTTTGGACCTCAGGGACCACCAAACTCATAATTTTAAATCCCAGGGACCATTAATATGAATTTTGACTGATGGTGGCTTGCTGACATTGGTGGGAGAGAGAGAGAGAGAGAGAGAGAAAGAGAGAGAGAGAGAGAGATATCTGATCTAACCTCTCTTTCTCTTTCCCTCTCTCTCTCTCTCTCTCTCTCTCTCTCTCACTCTCTCTCTCTCTCTCTCTCTCTCACACACACACACACACACACAGGCAGGGGTGGGATTCAAATTTCTTAACAACCAGTTCTGTGGGTGTGGCCTAATTTGTGGGTGTTGTTTGGTGGTCATGTGACTGACTGGGCATGGCTTGTATGTAAATATTATAAATATTTATGTAAATATTGAATTTTTTATAAAAAACGAGCAACTTTTACCCCAAATCAGGCAAAGCAGGCAGGCAGATTGAGTTGCTCACAGAATCACAAATTCATTCAGAGATCTATCTTTCTGCCATCGGCTACCTGAGTCTGCACTGCATAATTGAAGCTTCAATCCTAAGGAAGGTTCAGCTCTGCTTAAAAGCAGAGCTGAAGATCTAAAGATTAGCTAGAAGGCAAGAAATCCAATGGTTTCCTGCTTTCTAGCTAATCTAAATCTCCCGGCACAGCGGAACAGCTGATGGTCAGGGGAAAAAAAAGGAAAAATAGCAACTTGGCAGGCAGGTTTGCCAGCTAAGGAGTGAGTGGGCATGTTCCCCTGCAGCTTGGATTAATTGCTTTGGGGGGGTGCTCTGGGAGTGACATTTCTCTGCAGACCACCAACATTTTCTCATGGACCACCAGTGGGCATCAGCCCACTGGTTGGCGACCACTGATTTATGATAACTGGCAATGTTATCCTTTTCATAGCTTGTGTTGGTTGTGCTTTGGTGGTTTGTGTGGTCAGGCACTCTGTGATGAAAGTTGCATGGGTATCCATTTTGTTGGAAGATATTGTATAATTTTTTTTCCTTTGGGTGGAGATCTATTATCTGTGTATTATCTATCTATCTATCTATCTATCTATCTATCTATCTATCTATCTATCTATCTATCTATC